CCGACACGTTGATTGCAGATCTATTACCGCGCGATTAATTGGGGGAGGAAATGACGATCTGCTTGGATAGACGCGTCAGGGAGTAGCAAAATTGGGATTATGAGTTATAAAAGTGGTTCAAATTACTTTACATTCGTCATAATATTCCCATTCGGAACATTTCTTGCGAACTCTAAACAAAAAACAAGTGAGGGGCACTGGCACATAAATATTGTCTAATATTCTCAAGTTTTGTTACCGACATTAAAAGAGAAAGAAAAACTTGTTTGTACTTTGTTATTTGTTAGACGGCGTTCATAGAAGAGCCGATTTTGGTCGAAATGTTTGTCGGCCGACGTCGGTCGTTGTTTTTCGTTCTTCCGAATTCGTTGAACGCGTCGTGGTAAACGAAAATGGTCGTAGTTAACGACAACTTCCGACGGCATCCGAAAACATCGGCTGCCGGATGAAGATCTGTTTCAATTGGTTTTGTCTGTCCCACGTTGGCCGACCGAAATTTCTGCCAAAATCACCTCCACAGTGATCGTCACCTTCTCAATTATCTCTTCAAAGCCAGTTGTGTTCGGGGTTTTGCAGCAATTTAGTTAATTCGTATTGGCATTGTACACTCAAACAAGTTCTTAAACGAACAGTTTTAAAGTAGTACATTCCACTTGGGAAAGTACTTCTCCTAACTGCTCTCTTAACAGCAACATCATACTGAGAGTACGAGAGGGCTGTTCTTCCAAAGCCTATCTCCGCTCTGAGCCACTTCCCTGTATGGGCTCTTGTAAAGTCCGGTCGCAAAGTCAAAACGAGCATCGCCCCGGGAAAATCCCCCGTCCGCCGGCCTGCCGGTGCCGGCGCCGCGGGGGGCCTTCCCGGGGGGCGGATCAAACGGCGCGCCGAAGTTCACGGCCCTGCGGAGCCGAATGCGGCGCTTTGAGGCACCTGTTGAGGGGCGAACGAGGCGACGAGTGGCAGCTCGGGGACGCGCCTCTTTCGCGTCGAAGGCGCCGGCGCCGGCGGGGGCGGCGAGGGCTCCGGAGGTAGCGGCAAGTTAGGCCAAGGGGCCAATTGACTCAAGGCCCCGCAGCGCCGAGCTGTGCCGCGCCGCGTGGCGGCGCTCCACTGAGCCGCCGCGTTGAGTTGCCGCGTGTCAATGAGACTCCCGGCGCCCCGCTGCCGCTCTTCGACGCTGGCGGACTGGCTCATCGTTGCTCACGCGTTGCTCTCCGCAGATGTTGCCTTTTTCGGTCTCTGCGTGCGCCATTTGCTTTCCCCTCGCCCTTGGCCACGCCTGTCCGATGGTCCGCCTGTCTATAGTGTTTTCTACCTTTCTTCAAATCTTTGCGGTTTGGTGGTCAATATCATTACCTCTAATTATTTGTATTTGTCGTCTCGACAGCTAAAGGGGTAGCTGTGCTCTTGTTAGAAATGACTCTGCATTTCTCATTGACACACCTTATATCGCTTCTGAGATGCCATCTTGGTTTGTTGCCTACATAAAGTAATTTTCCCATTACTAATGACATTCTGCTATTTATCTACTGTTGATTTTACTTCTTCTTAGGTGCTACTCAATTTCTGTTGCATTCCTGTTCGAAAGTGTCTTGCTCAATAATTTATCTCACCGGCCTTTCTACATCTTGTGCACTCCCTAACAGCTTGCTTCTCTCTGAACTTCTTTAGCATCATCCCTTATTCCGCCCCCCTTCGTTTTCGCGCCCGCCGCCAACGCGGAGGCCACTCGCCTACTCATCCCAACCGCGCGTCCGCCGCGAGCCGCGCTCCACTGATTTCCCGGGGCGGCTGCGGCGCGCTGCCGGCGGGGACTGCCACGACGAACGACTCGTAAATTTAAAAACATTCGAAAGCTGTGCTCGCCAAAGGGTTTTAGGGCCCGGTTCCCCCGTGCGTATAAGGTACTTCTACGTGTCGTCCGAATGGGGAGAGTCGTTGGCCGCCTGCGCCGTGCCACGGCGCGTGGGCGAATGTCGCCGTGGCTTCGGAGCGGCGGCGCCTGTGAGTGTGTGGTGAAGCGCGAAATGTAGCGCTTCTGTCCATAAGTGGCTGCAGCGCGAGCGGCGGACTTTGACTTTTAGTACTGCACGATATTTGCTCCGAAGCCGTCGGCATCCGTAACGACCTCTTGTGCTTTTACGCTTTGCAAGGAATATTGGATGAAGTACGGGTTTGAAGCGTTAATGTTTTTTAACTCTGTCGTTGAGGATCGTACTGGAGATAATCATCGCAAAGCGAAATACGCGGAAGCGCAAATATTTAAGGAGAACAAGCATGTGGTTGAGATCGTCTTTAGACAAGCTGGTTTCAGTGCACGACTGTGTGTGTACACGTTTACGCTGTTCATGTACGTTTTACATTACACTTCCTTTTATGTGTTGGTAGTCAAGCGTTATGAATGAACATATAAATCTTTGGGGCTGTAAACCAGCATTGCAATATGCCAGCGCAAAGATAAGTTTACGGACTGTGAAATCGGTATCCATGGCAACGTTAAGTGCTTTTTATAGAGAAGTTGCTGAAGTTCATTCGCGTGAGTCAAGTTGCATGAACATTGTTGCGGAAGAGATATTAGTATCTGTGTGGCACACGACTGTCGCAGACAAACTAAATGAACAATTTTGTAATAATTCAGTAAACTATATTTGAAATGCTAGTGTCCTCGACATTTCAATTCTTAAAAGAATTCCCGTAAGGTGTTAGTCATAAAATGGTCAATTTGTCAAAATTTTATCTTTAATATCATGTATATCGTTTCAAAATATACGTTTTCCCGGCAATTTTTCGTAAAATAGTCATTTTAGACAAGAATATTCTAAAAACGGCTCTATGTTATTTCTTTACATTTTTTAAAACATATAGAGCTAAATGTGTTGAATAACAAGCCATAAACATTATTTTGAAGTAATCGTTTTATTTTTCACAAAATTCACAAATTTATGTTAAAATAGTATTAGTACACCGGTACAAATATTGTGAGGAAATGCGTGCCGTTGTAGCTCCAATAGTTTTCATTGATCATAATACATGAAAATGTGCAAAATCTGAAGTATGCCCCATATTTTAATTTCAATTTGGGTTTGGTGCAATGAGGAAGGTTGGTTCCGATGACGGAAGGCCGGCAGGCACAGGCTATCTACGCCGCTTCCTCCGGGGCGAGAGGCCGGCCGCGCCGGACAGACCGAGCTGTGGCGGTGGCCGACGCTCAGGGGGGGGGGAGGGAGGGGAGGGGGGGGGATGGGCCGGACGGAAGGACGGGCGCCGAGGGGCGCATACGCGATAATGAAATATGGGAAGGCGACGACGATAAAATAACTGGAGCCGGAGCTACGTGTAGCTGCTCATCGGGAAACGTCAACAGCGATAACGTTGTTATCTGCGGCGCGCAGCCACCATGTGGCGCACGCGCGCGGTGCACCCCCACGCCGCGCTCTCGGCCCATCCCCCTCGTTCGTCTCCGTCCTCGTCCTCGTCCTCGTCCTTGTCCTCGTGGAGCTACGCGACTGCCAGTGACGAACTGCCGACACTTAGAGGTACAGACCCTGCTTGTATGTTCGTGGTTTAAGTGGTCTCAAATTATAAACACGAACCAGGGTACTCTCCGCTGCGAAAAAAGTCTTCAGAACGGACACAAATTCTAAGTTTTGGATACGGAATCGGTCTATGCTTGCATAAATCAGACTAATGTTATTTTTTCCTGAGCGAAAAAATGCATATTCGTGTGATAATTACGTACTTAAGTAACAGAAACAGTAACGCACGTAATTGACAGAGTAGTAGTAATCTTCGATTTCAGGCTATATCAGGATACACGTAAGGGAGAATATTGCAAAGGAGATTGTTACGTTGTTGAGCCGTAAAGATAGGTTTCTTTGTCTCACAAATATTTGTCGGAAATCGTATTCCTCGGTCTAGGGCGTGCATTAATATTTGCGTGTTGGACAGTGAGCAAGTATTCTGTAAATTCTTTTAGAGACTCCATTTAACAAAGCGTAGAAGTGTCGTTCGTCTGCCCTCTGGCGGAGCAACTGGTGCAACTGGAGCCACTGGCGCTCCATCATAAGTAGCGGCTCTCGCAGCCGTCTTGGCAGGCCGCGCGCTCTCCCGGCTGCGGGAGGCTATTAAAAAATCGCCCGGGAACCGCGACGGGGAGGCGCGCCGCTCCCGCGACCATTTCTGTGAGTTACGCCCTCGTTCCGGACCTTCTCTTAGAAATGTGCCTTAATAAATCATCGGCTATTAGTTCAAGATATTTACCCTCCAAGTGCGGGTAACGGCTCCATTTTTTATTGTAATTTATTCGCAACGGCTCCCCGCGTTTTGATAGCATCTGGACGTCTTGCATCAAGAGCCTTCCAGTGAAAAAAATCTTTTTACCCCGCGCACAAACTCGTGTGTCATTTAGTTCGAGTGCTGAAGCTTGAAATCAGTTGTTTTGTTCCCGTGACAAGAGAGGGTCGTTGGCGCTTTTTTACGGCCTGCCAGTTGGGAGCTGACCGTTTGCCGACGCTGTTTCTGGCTCTTGCAAATGTATTTATTTTCCACGACATGGAAAGAACCCCGTAAACGTGTCGAGAATACTTAACAGGCGTGGAAGCGCTGCAATAAGGAAGAAAATGGCGCATTTATTCAATTCTACAGGCCTTCGGGTCACGTTTCTATCCGTGTTTGCATTATAGAACAAATAAAATGGAAATTAATACTGAATCGTATTTTTCTTAGTTTGTATTTTTAATTAAATTCCTGGTAGTGGTTCAGTTGTGCATCTTTCGAATCTATTTTTCCAAGAAAGGTTAAGATGAACGATGTACTTGCGATAAATGAGAGGCAAAATCAACAATCGTGCTGAGGCACGAGTGTTATGCATGCCCTTTCTGTGATCTCCCCGTGTCTCGTTTCCCAGTGGCGTGCATGTGCCGTGTGGCGTGTGCCCTATCGCAGCGCGCACGCGGCGGACGCGCGTGCCTAACGAGACGTGTGCTTCTCGCCTGTTGCAGGGGTTCCGAGGGAAGGTGTCGCGGACGCAACAGCAACAGCAGCAGCAACAGCAAGCGCAGCAGTCGGCCGCCGCGCCGGTCAATGACAGCGCCGCCATGATGTCCGGAACCACCGTAAGTACCCTCGGCCGCCCGCGCTCCCCGGGAGGTTCGGTCCAACTGGCCGACCCCGCGCGCGGAGAGCCGTCTGCTTTGACGCTGCTGTGCTTTTTGTGAATGTTTTCAGCTTTGCCAGCTGGTTGACGCGTGCGCTTTGTATTTAGTATGTACAAAGCCAGGCAAGAGTAACACGCTATTAATTCTACTCTTGTAATTGTTCGTTCCTTCCTTCATTAGTATGCGAAATAAATTAAAGGAATACGTGGTTTATAGTTCAGGATTAATATAAAAAAGTTCACTCTTTATTCGTATTTGAATTTCTAGAGTCTTTTAAGGATCTTATTATAATAATTTTGCTTATAATTTTTTTAGAAACGAGAAAATATTACTTTTTACTTCAGTGAAACAAATACTAGTGTCGAAAATAACCCCTGGGCAGTATAATAACTCACTGTTTAAGCACTTACATCATTGAACGGTGATTTTTCTCTAGCCACTCGTCGTCTAATATCTAATGATTTATTTGACAACTAAACCTGTTTTTTTATAAAAAAAATAAGTTGATAAACAATTTCAAAATGGTGTATCGGTGTAAATGTGCGTTGGCGAATGTTAGGCGTTAATGTGATGAGGCTATAAACATACATCTGAACATTTCATTGTTTTCATTGTATTTCATTATTTGCCTTTCATGCACTCCGAGTCCTATTACATTACAATATTATTTTAGCAAACATTTGTTCGCTGCAGTGTGTGGTCGTTGAATGTAAACCAGTTATGTGACTGTTGTTAGGATTTAAAACCAACGACAATCGTTGTTGATAATCTTCTACGTCTGAGCAATGCCGGTAAATACCATTAAATCAACACGTGGCGCTTGTGTATGTTGTATTTCAAAATCTATTTTAACAGTACTTCTGTTACTGCCCGCGCATTCAGGTTAATTGCAGCAACAACAGCCTTTTTAGCCATCATGTTCCGTGTCTAAAAACGACGATGCAGGCGATTACGACCGCATTGCGGAGACCAGCAATCGCTTGACGGAAATCTCTACAGCTATTCTTTTTCACGAGAGTACTTTACTTTCTCTGCACGCTGTACGGGATAAAAGCTATAACGATCAGGCCGCCATGTCGCACATGGGCACATCGACGTTGGGCCACCTCTCCCTTGTTCTTGCGCGCGGGGACGAGCGACGAGGCGGCAGCGTCACCCCTCTGCAGCAAGCAACACGATGCACTTCCGCGATGCGCGTTGTCATCTTTTTGGCGGGCGATCGGGGCGGGGCGATATCGGGAACAGCGCGCGCATTTGGCGTATCAGCGGTCATCGGGATTAAACGATTTATTTTTTTGTTTCGCCCGCGCCACCTATCATGTGCTCCGGGGTCGGGCCCCCGCCACCTCCCTCAATCGCCCGCTGTGTCGCGCCCTCTGCCCTCTCCTCCCCCCCGTCGAAATTACCGTTGTTATTTTATAGGCGGCATAATCGCGCGTGATTGTTTTGTTTCGGCGCGCGCCGTGTAAAATCATCGCGCCACACCGACCTGCCGGCACTAAAAGTGGAGCAAACAACAACAACCAAAAAAAGCAGGTGCGCGCCGGGGCACACAAACACGCGGAGAGGGCGTGGTGGCGGGCGGGGGCGCAGCGCGCTAGCGCGCCCGCTCCACACGCGCGCTACAAAACGTGTGTTACGACAGCAGTGAATTTTGCCCGGCGGCGTTGTTGATGTATATGCATGACACTGCCGAGAGTATTTACAAACAGGACTTATAATCGAGTCATTCCCCCCGACTGGCCGTGTCCCGTCGGGCCCGGGTCGCTACTACTGGCCGTTACTAGAGCGCCCGCCCGCCTGCCTCCGCGCCGCGTCCGCCCGCGCTCGCAGCCGCGCCGGAGTGTTACGTAAGCGGCGGCGCTGACGTCACCCGGCGGCGGCGATGGCGGCGGTGACTGCACGCGCGGCGCTATAAACGGTGGCCACGGGGCTATGTATAGTCCCGCGCTAAAAGCGCGCCTATCAGCTCCGCGCCGGTGATACTGTTAGGTGACCAGCCGAGCGGGAAATGCCTCGCCATCGAGCCCGCAGGTCGCAAGCGGAAGCCGACGGCGGCGCCCCCTCCCCCGGCCCTCGCTGCCGACGCCGACGCCCGTGCGGCGTCGCTGGGAGCTTTTTGCCGCCGCGACGGTCGCCGTCGTAAGGATCCGCGTCGAGTACAAACAAGACAAAAGGGAATCCAGGATTTACTATGATATTGCTTCCTGATTTGTTGATTTGGTTCTTGTTAATCATTGACCGTTTTCTAGATCTCGGTGTGTTTTGAGAATTGCATACAACATTATACAAAAATTGGAAGTAAAATAATACAGACCTACTGCTAATTATTACGTATTTATCAGATAGGAAATTGTAGCAGATTCTTTTCAAGAATTTCTGTTTCAGTCTAGATTAATTTTCGCACAATATCGTATCTGGATATAAAGATTATGTTACCTATGTTTGTATAACTTTATTTTGTAATTACCTGTGTAGCTTATTTAACTTGGAGGTTTTCAGAAAAAATCCAAACGTGAAATATTTTTTCGAATTGGTTGTGAAGAAACGAAATAAACTTTGTTTAGTGTATTTATCCTCGCTTATTCAAAGCTTGTGAAAATATTTCTTGTGCCTGGCGGTGTGGATAAAACACCCACTCAGCTTCCAGAGTACATGGCATTATACTTCGCGCACGTGAATGATATTGAAGCACGAATTTAGCTCCAATGCATTGGAGTGTGAAGTGTCATGAAACCGTAATAACAACATGTAAATTTAAACGTAATATGGAACTAATAACACTCTCAGTGATAATGGAAAAACAATGAATTAATTTGAATGAACTGTATGTAAACAAAGTTGCTCATGCCCAACATATTTTTATATATCCCATTTTGCACTTGCAATTAATGAACAGCGCATTTCTCAATGACATTTTGCAACATCCACGGTTTCACTTCGTTAGTGTTCGAGCAACTGAGTATCTCGAAGGAGTTTGAACTCGTACCCTGGTAAATAGCTTTTCATGTGACGTGCGTATTTTTGGCGTGAGGCAGCAAGTGACATTGGCCCTTCCACTCCCGATACACGAGTACCTTCAGTGTCCTCCACCTACCGATTAAATTTCGTGAATAGTATAAGGCGGTGTAGCGGCCGAGGAATTTCCGGCCCTGGGCAAGCGGAAGGAAGGAGGAGGGCGGCAGCTTGTATCCGGGCGACATGTCGTTCTGACATTTTGCTCGCTGTCCCCTCGTCCGTTGCGATTTCGTTCACACAATTTTGTTCCCTTTGCTGACTGAAAAATATTAATTATTAGATATACAAATAATGAATTGATTCGAAAGTTAGGCTCTTTTTTCTTTTTATACAAAAATACAACACATTAGAGAGCTCTTATTATTCGTAGAATATGACTAACTTTGACGTTAATCAAGGGACTCATTTGATTAATGAGATTTCATGGGTAACTCATTTGTATTAATTTGCATAGTCAAAGTTCTTTCTAGCATCAAACATTTTTTTAAAGATGTAATTGCAGGATAGTGTATTTATCTACATCATTGCGATGATGTAGTGAAAGGTTCAATATCTTTTTCATTCAATCACATATCGCAAACCCTTGAATGAGCCAGCATTCCTGCGTAAATACCACAATCCGATCCGTTTTAAGGTAAGGAAATTTCATTTGCCTTGTGTACCAGGTATCTCTTCGGCCTCAGGTGGTCGAAAGAGTAAAATTGCCGTTGTTAACTAATGGAGACTTGAACGACTCAGTTCATTAACAAACGCAACGCCATCCCAACCCCTCCCTTGCGGCGCTGCGAAGCGTCCTCCGCCGCACAACCGACCCGACACAGTAAAACGTTACGCCTGCCGCGTGCCAGCTAAAGCGAGTGCCCGGACGCGGCATTAAAAATTCCACGTGCGCCCCCACCCGTCCTCAACCCCGTCGCGTCACTCGCGCCGCCGCGTTGCCCTCCCCCTCCCCCCGTCTGCCTCTCTCTTCCTCTCTTAACCCTCTGCTCCCTCGTAGTCCTCTTCTCTCCGCTCTCACGACCCGTTCAGCCCTCAACACCGCCCCTGACTCTGTCAAGCTCAGTCATGCTCTCGCCGCCGCGCCTGGAGTCTCTTAGCCCGAGAGCCCCACCCCGCCCCCGCCGGCCCGCCGCTGGTCCTGGAGGGCACGCCCACCGAATTGCGCGCTCGTGTTACGGCGCGCCGAAGCGCCACGAGGTCCCGCACGTGCGCCCCCCCCGCCCCCCCCCCGGCTCGCCGCAACCCGAGCTGCGCGGTCCGCCGCTTCCGCCCCACCCTCCGATCAAAGTCCTTACACCGTGGGTGGATTTCGCGTTTTGTCGGACGTTTGTATAATTTGAATGCTTCAGTTCCGAGGATACCGTTCTGTGTGACACATGCAGTTTCGCATCCGAAGAAAAATACTGTAGTTAGTTGTGCTAGAATAAAAAGTGCTAAGTTTTTGCATAATTTTGGCTGAATATGAAAATAATATTTAAGTCTCTTCCATTAATTACTAAGAGGGCATTCAACGTAGCGATCAGTTCCCTGTGCTCATGTTAAACACTTCAAAAGTACTAAAGTAATGTTTGTTTTGTTAATATTGATCGTTGCTCTATTTTTTCAATTATTCATTAATTTTTGACAATTTAGATGGAAATTTGTTTGCATCTTCTACGGTTGGAAGGCTGACTGATAATTCTATGCGATTAGCGTTCGGAAAACCTCCATTTCCTTGATTAAATCCCGCAGTAGCACCTTTCGTGGGCGGGTGGCGGCCGGCGGGGAGCTGGCTGCTGTCGAAGGATTGCGCGCGATGACTGCGCTCGTCGCGGCCCCGCGCTTGAGTGGGGGCCGAATGGAATTGGTACAGTCCCCGCCGGCAGCGCGGCGGCCCTGCGGCCTCGGCCGCGTAATTCGGAACGGGAGCGCACTAATGGAGTTGGAGAGCGTCACTTGAA